GGGGTGTTGGCTAATTACAGCAGACTTGATAAATGAGGCCATAGCCTGCGGGCCTCAGTCTGCATGCTGTGCATCTGTTGGATGGGCCCAGGGTGATGAGGAAGATGCTGAGACTCTGAAGTGTCCTGCACCTTCTCCCTTCTGAAGAGAGAGCCTGGAGGAGGGAGACCCATGGGCATTGCCAAGGGGAGGCGCTGTTCTAGGCCCTGGGGATTTAGTAACGGACAATACAGACCCAGGTCCTGGTCCCTGGAGAGAGCAGGGAACGGACAAATGCCAAGGGTTTGCTCACGTTTGGATGGGGGTTCATTTGGAGCCCGAGTGGAAAATACTTGGAAGTGCCCTTGGTTGGGGGAGGGGCAGGGAGGCTCGGTGGTCAGGGTGGCCCCTGGGCCTGCCTCTGCTTAGAGAGGAGTGCCAGCCAGGCCCGGACCGCAGCAGGGTGCCTGGTGCCTTTGGGTCGGTCGGTTGGCTGGGTCCTGGTGCTTGAGTCACCCCGCCTCGCCCCGGGGTTTCTTCCTGCCAGGGGTCTTGAATCTAGCTGGTTGTGTCTGAGACAACCCTCTGCTTTGGGAAGCCAGTTTCCCCGAATGCCACCAGCTGAGGTCTCCAGTGCTGAGCTCTGGCTGTGCCCCTGCAGGCCCCGCCTCCTTCCTGTGCCAGGCACCCCCCATGTGGGGTGGCTTCCCCCTGTCCCTCCCATCCCTCCCTCGCCCTCCCTGCCCCTGCTGTGGCTTCAGAGGTGGCTTCCTGTCCTCTTGCCCTCCCACCCAGCAAACCCTTTCTGCTGCCATTGCCACCCCCTAGACATCAGCCTCCTAACTGCCCCTCTCCGGCCCTCACCAGCACTGTCCTCCTCCCGTGCGTGTCCCTCTCAGAGCTAGGACGCGCCTCACCCTGGAGGGACACACCGATTCTTCCTCGGGTGTCTGTCTTCTCTGTGAGTTGGTAGCTGGGGGGTGGACACCTGGCTTGGGCAGGGGGCTAGGGCAGGGGTTCTCAATCTCTCTTGGCATTTGGGGCCAGATGGCTCTTTGTTGTGTGAGGGCTGCCCTGTGCCCTGTAGGACAGTTAGCAGCGTCCCTGGCCTCTGCCCACTCAGGTGCCAGTAGCACCCTCGCCCCAGTTGTGACAACAAAAAAGCCTCGACATTGCCGGATGTCCCCTGGGAGTAAAGTTGCTCTAGTGGGACCACCGGACTGGGGTGAGAACAGCATGTCTCAGGCTTGGCTGAGCCGGGAAATTCTCTAGTCCAGATGCCATATCTTAAAAGGCATTGGGCTGCAGAGAGGGAAAGAATCTTAGGGTCACACAGGGGAGCAGCGTAATGAAGGAGGCATTTTAGGGAAAGGATTCAGGCAGGTCTATGCAGGCTGGGCTGAAAAACGGAGGCCAGAGGCAGGCAGGGGCGCGTGGCCGGGACCTGGGCTTGGGGCTGAGGCAGTGGCCTGGCACCTCTCACCCGTCGGGGGCTCAGCGGGCGTGTCGCCGGGGCTCTGCATCAAATGCCAGGAAGCCAGGTCCTGGGCTGGGCCTGGCAGTGTGATGTCCTAGTCTGTGAACTTAGGGTCTGGGGGCTCTGCTCGTTTTGGGTCAGAGACGGGAGCAGAGGGTCCCTCCATCTCAGCAGGAGGCCGAGGATGTGGGGTGAGCAGGGCCTCTTGTTGCCTGCAGGGCCTCATTCATTCAGCAGTGGCCTTTTGGGGGCGGGGACGCATGTGTGGCTCTGAGAGGAAGGTGCGGGACTTGGGTACAGGCTGCCGGTGGAGGCTGCCCTGCTGTCCGCAGCAGGCCTTACCTGAGACTTACCCGGGGCAAGGTGACTTCAGGCAGGAAGTGAGAGGGAAGGAGAGGTGTGGGGAGCAGCTCATCCTCCCCAGCGGGCTCTGGGGAGCTGGCACAGCAGGTCAGAGGTTGGGGAGCCTAAAGTCACAGAGGTGACTGGCTCCTGGAGGTTCTGAGCTGTTGAGATTTCCCACATGGGGGCCCCTGTCCACGAGGGACACGGGGAGGGGAGGCACAAGGGGACCTCCCGGGCCCACTCCCAGTGGGAACCGGCTGCTGGGAGGGAGCCGGACAGTCGTCCCTTGGTATCCGTGGATGCTGAGGTCCCTTATATAAGGTGGCGCGAGTACCCTGAGGACTTTCCTGGGCCCGGGGATGGTCCCGAGGGGCAGAGTGTCTCCAGCGCAGGGGGGGAGGGCGTCCTGCGGCTCCAGGGTCCCAAGGCCAGGCTCCCTACCTGTAGCGAGCGACCTAGCCTGTAGCAAGTGACCTGGCAGCAGTGGGGTCTCCTCTTTTTCTTTTTTTTTTGCGGTACGCGGGCCTCTCACTGTTGTGGCCTCTCCCGTTGCGGAGCACAGGCTCCGGACACGCAGGCTCAGCGGCCATGGCTCATGGGGCCAGCCACTCCGCGGCATGTGGGATCCTCCCGGACTGGGACACGAACCCGCGTCCCCTGCATTGGCAGGCGGACTCTCAACAACTGCGCCACCAGGGAAGCCTGGGGTCTCCCCTTTTTCATTCCAGGGTCTGGCTTTTAGAGCCATAAATCTTCAGCATGGAGAGCATGAATTTCCATGGTGTGATTAATGAAAGAAAAATTGAGCCCGCAGCACAGAAAATGACCGGATTGAGCAGAGTCAATGACAGGTTGGATAAGTCTCTGAGCCTCCCTGCAAACCCAGAGCTCTGACCCGGCCTGGGCCGCCACCTGGTGGTTGAGGGTGTGGGTGGCACCCAGTCCCTGGCTGAGTGGGGTGGATGCCCCGTTGGGTGGGGGACAGCTCTGGGCCTGGTGTGCCCACACCGCGGACTCGGCCCCGTTCCAGCGGGGCTGCCGCAGGGCACGGGGCGAGGGCGGCTGTCCACGGTGTGGGGCCCCAGCAGCTGCTCCGCTCGGCCGGCTCCACCTCTGCAGCCCTGGGAGCTGTCTCCGGTTTAGTGATGCGTGGGAATACCCCCGCTTCTTTCGGCATGCCGTCTGGACCGCCTTTCCGTCTCTTCATTTATCAAAATCCTACTCATGTGTTGAAGCCGAGCAAGCCCTTCCAAATACATCTCGAATTGGACCGTCTCTCGGCACTCCTGCACAGCCTCCCGCTAGAGGTCCCTCCAGACCCGCCTGGTCCCCGGTCACGGCAGTGGCCTCCTGGTGGCTCGCCCATCGCACTTTGCCCTCCGATGCCCTATTCTCCACACAGCAGCCAGAGTGACCTACTGAAATCACAGATCACGTCCCTGTCGTGCTCCTGGGCTTCCCATCCCATCAAGAACACCACCATTAAAAAAAAAAAAAAAAAGAACGCCACCATTTTCTTTCCTGATGCCTGCGAGGTCTCACCCGCCGGTCCCCCACCACTATCACTCTGTCACCTCCGGTCCCCGGCTGGCCAGGCTCCCCCCACCCAGGGCTTTGCACTGCTGTTTCCTCTAGAACATTCTTCCCCCTCTTATTTGCGTGCTTATTTACTTCCCCTCTTGTGGGTTCCTCCTCAAGTGCCACCTTCCCGAGGGGCCTTCCCTGCCCCCTGCCCCCGCACTCCCTCTCATCCTGACTGGTTTTCTTCACGGCACCTGGAAGCCTGTCGTGTGCTTGCTTGTGTGTCCCCTCTTCCCCAGGGCGGGTCTCTGCCCGCGCCGTTGCCACCGTCGCCCCGTGCTCAGGGCAGGGCCCGGCTTTAACGAGTAGGAGCTCCATTCTGGTTCGTGGAGCAGATGAGAGAGGAAGTCATCTCCTTGGGCAGCCTCTGCCAGTGCCTGGCCTTCCCGCTGTCCGCCTGCGCGTGGCCGCCTGGCCCTCGCTGCCACGTGTCCGCTCCCTGGAGCGGGGGCAGCTTGAGAGCAGAGATGGGCTTGCATCCTGGGGGCCGCAGCACGGCGCCTGGCTCGGGACCTGTCTCCCGGAGGCCGGCACCTGGCCCTGGTCACCCTCTTCACGGGCCTTCTTTCTTTCCAAGTCTCACAACGGTCCAGGAGGGGGGTGGTAGTGTCTCATTCCCCACCTGACCCGTGCGCGTGCCTGAGGGGCTGTCCCCTCCCCCTGGCACCTGAACTCTGTGCCACTTACTTGGCCCCCATGCGTACGGCCTGGAGTGGATGCTGCCCTCCCCTGGCTCCCGTCTGGTCCGAGCCGAGGCCCTGGGAAGGCAGGTCCCTAACGCGGCTGTGGCTCCTCTGTGCTGCAGGTTCTCGGCAAATATCTGTCGACCGACTGACTAGCTCCTGAGACCCCGCAGACATCCTTGAGCCCCTGGAGGGAGCGGGGGGCGGTGTCAGCTTATGGAGTGTAAAACAAGGGTGCTGTGGAGACCTGCAGCCCGGGGAATGGGAAACTGCAGCCGCGGGCATCGCAGCCCCAGGGGTGCCGTGGAGCGGAGTGGGTCCCAGCCGGGGGCGGCTGCTGCTCCCTGGGATGGATGGTGAGGTCATGGAGGACCCACGCCCTGCACGTCGGCCAGCCCCTCACCCAGGCCAGGGAGCCCCTTCCTGTTTCCATATGCGTGAAATTTGTTCTTCCAGCTCCTGAGGACCATGGACAGGTGGCCCTTCCGGTCAGGGCAGCAGGACCCAGTCACCGCAGGGTCTGGCTCTGAGAAACTGGCTCGGCGGTTCCCTCCCAAACCCCTCACTTGCTTCCACGACCACGTGGCCCCTCCCCGCCTCCTCCCGAAGCGCCAGGCCCTCCTCTGCTGAGTGGGACCCCCATGGCCACGCACGTGCAGCTAGGACCTTCCGTACTTGTTACGTGCTTTCCCCGCGCCTTGTTTAATTTGTCCTCATTGACGTGACCGTCTGAGCTTCGAGAAGCTGGTGCCATCCCGTTTGACGCGGAGAGGCTGGGGGCTTTGTGCAGGTCACACGACCCAGCTGCGCCCTGTCCGTGTCTCACGGTTGGGGCCGGGGGCAGTGGGGGCAGTGGAGGGACACGCAGTCCTTTGAGTCTTGTGGAGACGGATACCAGAGCAGTGCCAGGCTAACAGGCTTCCCTTTCTCTCCAGCTCTGTGGCTGTGGGCTGCTTGGAGTGGGCATTTGGCTCTCCGTGTCCCAAGGCAATTTTGCCACCTTCTCCCCCAGCTTCCCGTCGCTGTCTGCAGCCAACCTCGTCATCGCCATAGGCACCATCGTCATGGTGACGGGCTTCCTCGGCTGCCTGGGCGCCATCAAGGAGAACAGATGCCTCCTTCTGAGTGTAAGTTGGACCCCAGCCCCCCAGCCCTCTGAAGGCTGGGTCGCCCTGCATTTGAGCCCCTGAGCCCCCTGGGCGCCCAGCCCGAGCCCAGAGAAGCAGCTCCTAGAATGGTCTTTGCCTGACCCCACCCCCTCCTCATGATTGGCTGCCCCTGCCCTAGGTGCCCCTCCCACTCCGTGGCTGGTGTCCGCCTCATCTCCCTGCCCTCCCCATCCGGGAGTCCTCAGGAGCCGTGGCCTGTCCCGTACCTGGGAAGTCCTGTCTAGGTGTTAACCTGTCCCCGGCCACCCCGTTTGCACCCCGGCCCCGGCCGGGACCGCTGCCACGTGCCCACGCCTGCACCTTCTCTTTGCAGTTTTTCATCGTCTTGTTGATCACCCTACTGGCGGAGCTGATCTTAATTATCCTCTTCTTTGTCTACACGGACAAGGTAAGCCTTCCAGGAGGGGAGGGGGCGTATGGAACTTCCTTGCCCCTGGGGGTGGGTCTGGGAAGCCGGAGGAAAAGCAGTGACAGTTCCAACTTGCGAGGAGAGGAGAGCTAAGAAGGGCCCCGAGGAGAGGTTTTGGCGGGCGGCCCACTGCCTCGTCTTAGGAAGTGGGGTCCTCTAATGACCACGGGATGCCGCGGACGGCCCCTGGCACAGAGAGCTCCCCGTCACTGGGAGTATTCAAACACAGTTGTGGGGAGGGGATGCAGAGCTCACTAGGCGCCTGGGCTGGGTGATAGGAGGGTAAGCTACTGGTAACACAGGGGAACCTTCCAGGTGACAGTGCATAGGGCTCACAGTGGAGGCAGCTGTGATTCCACATCCAGAGACCTTTGGGGACAGACAGCTGCCCCCAGGCTGCCCCGGGGGTCCAGGAGGGTGGAGCGGGGGCCCCTGGCGACCCCGCCAGGCTGGACGGTTCCCTGCAAAGCTGGGGAACTTCTGGGACCTCCAGGAACGATTGGCCAAGCGCGGGCTTCGGGCTCGGCGGGCCCCTGCGCGCGTTGTCCCCAGAAGCGTGTCACCATCTTCCCCTTGGGTCCTGAAGGAGGCGTCCGGCCACGCTGAGAGGGAGAGGCCCTCTTCGGATTTGTAACGGTAGCTCCTTTGCTTCTCTGAAAAGGAGGCACGAATAATACTGAGAGATCCCTGCGGGCCAGCCTTGTGCTCAGCTCTTTATGGGAGTCCTTTCCTTTAGCTCTCACAACAATCTCAGAGGTAGACGTTATTTTCCAACTTCACAGACAAAGCAGAGGTGGGCCCACGCTTGGGATGGCCGATCCGCACCCTGCGGTTCCCAGGGTGTGTCCCGACGGGGGCAGTGTTGGGGGGTGTCGTGGCCTGGAGGCAGGGTGGCCTGTGCGGGGCTGGTCCTGGGACCAGGGCAGCTGAGGGGTTTGGGCTGTCCCCGCCTCTGTGTCACAGTTCTGGCCCGAAGAGCTCGGCTCTCCAGGGTCACCGCCCGGCCCCGGCGGGCCTGCCCCGCCCGGGAGAGCTGTGGCCAGCTGTCCTGGCCAACCTGGGAGAGCTGGGGAGTGGGGCGGCCTCCTGCTCTCGCCCGACCTGAGTCTGCCCTCACCTGCCAGGTGAACGAGAATGCCAGGAAGGACCTGAAGGAAGGCCTGCTGCTGTACAACTCGGAGAACAACGTGGGGCTTAAGAACGCCTGGAACATCATTCAGGCCGAGGTGCGGGGTCTGGGGGGGGGGGGGGGGGGGGGGGCCTGGCCTCAAACTCTGGGACCCGGCTGGGCACCCCGGCCTTCTGGGTCAGACACCGTGCGGCAGCCACAGAGGGGTGAGGGGGTCGGGGAGGACGGCAAGCAGGGCCTGGACGTGGCCTGCAGCTGCGGGGCCCAGGGAGCTGGGAAGGACGGATGATCGAGAGGGCACCTCGTCCAAGCCCTTCCTTTCTGAAGCTTTGGCACGAACGACAACTTATTTTAGCAGCAGGGTCGCCTCCCTTGTCATGACTCAAGAGGTTCTGTTCTAAGAGGAAACGAGTCAGCACAGAGCGAGGGGGCAGGGTGCTACAGCCAGCTTGGGACGATCCACAGAGCCAAGAGCCAGGGGGCTGGTGGGCGAGCGGAGGGCTGAGCGCCCTGCCCAGCGCCCAGCACCCAGCGCCCAGCACCCAGCACCCAGCTCAGAGGGCAGGTGACATTGCCTTCTCCCCATCCAGCCTCCAGGAAGGAGCGATCACTTCCTTGCCTGGGCCCGGCTGAGGCCCAAAGAAGGGACGAGAAGGCTGAACTCCAGGCGGCAGCTCCCCTGGGGACCGGGCGGCAGGGGAAGTCCAAGGGGGACGCCGGGTGTGGCCCATCTGACCCTGGGCCCCTCCCCCTGCAGATGCGGTGCTGTGGTGTCACCGACTACACAGACTGGTACCCGGTGCTGGGGGAGAACACGGTTCCCGACCGCTGCTGCATGGAGAACTCCCAGGGTTGTGGGCGCAACAGCAGCGCCCCCGTGTGGAGGACGGTGAGGCTGCACCCCACCCCACCCCCAGGGGTCCGTGCGGTGGACAGCCTGGGGACGGTGGCCCAGGCCACCAAGGAGGTGGCTTAATGTGGGACGGGCGGGGATGCACAGGCCTGAAGCCAGAAGGCAGGTGGGCAGTGGGGGATCTGGGCCCACATCTGGGGGCGTCGGAGGTCGGGGGGAATGGGGTCTGGGGCTGTGTGGCGGGGCCCTGTAGGCGGAACCCCTGCGGGAGATGCTCGAAGGCAAGAGGACCGGGGCTGGGGGCAGGGGCAGAGGCGCAGTGAGGGTCACACCAGCGCCTGAAGCTCTGGTCCTCGCTCCCCAGGGCTGCTACGAGAAGGTGAAGATGTGGTTTGATGACAATAAACACGTGCTCGGCACGGTGGGGATGTGCATCCTGATCATGCAGGTAAGGGGGCCGTCCAGCCTCACGCAGCCCGGTCCGAAAGCCTGAGGGAGAGAGGACCGACGGGTGGCCCTGCGCCTCCCCGCCCGGGCTGCTCCCCCGGGGCCTGTGCGAGCCTGCAGGGCGCTGCCGTGTCATTGTCACGTCCCTCTGAGCCTTGGGCCTGTGCTGGCACCGCAGGAAGCCCCCATGGGTTTGCCTGTGACATGCCTGTCCCCACAGCACGGGGACGTTTACCCTGTGACTGAACTGAACGGCGGTGAGTCCTCAGGCATCAGTTGTGAGCAAGGCCTACAGGCGGCCTCCGCGGGGTCTGTCCCATCCCGTGGGATACATGTGACCTGGCAAGTGGCTTAGCCGCTGTGCCTTCGTTTACACATCCATGTAGTGGGCGTGATCATGGCCGCTTCTTAGCGTTACGTGAGTTTAATACCCGAAACGTTGCACAGGGGAGGTGCTCGGGAAGGGCTTGCTGCCCTCAGCCAGCGTTTCGCGGGCGGCCGTGCTGTGCAAGGCCCAGCGTGGGTGATGGAGGGGGACTCGCAGGGGCCCCCGGCTCCCTCCTTGAAGAGAAGGTTGATGTGGTGAGAGCAGGAGCCCCCGGCCTTTCTGGGGGAGCATTATGGGCTCCCCCTTGCCCACTTGTGTGTAACTCCTACCCTTGGTGACCACCTGACCCTGACTGGTCCGTCCACGGGAAGATGAGCGTCCTGCACGAGGTCCCCTTTCTTCCCTAAACCCCGCGGGCCTGACCGTGTCTGATCATCTACAAGCCTCTGAGCTTAGCAGACAAGCCACTGGCCCTGCTCAGGGCTCTGACGGAAGACGGGCTCACGGGAGCACGGGTCTCTCTGGTGCCAAGAGTGGGGCCCGGCTCGGGGCTGCCTGAAGCCAGGCCTGGAGCAGGACGCCGGGGCCAGGCTGGACCCCTCGGTCTCCGAGGTCACGGGCAGACCTTGAGTGTGAGTGGCGCGGGAAGTGCGGTGTCCTTGGCCGCGCGATTCGTGGTGAGCGCCAGTGCCCGGGAGGCCGCAGGCTGGCTTCCTGCACATTCTTCTCCGCTCGGGATCGGGGGGCTGAGGGGACCCAGATGAGTGGTAACGTCCTCCCAGCGGAGCAGCAGTCAGACGCCACGCCGTGTACCCCAGGACCCCGCAGAAGTGAGGCGGGGGGCTGTCAACGTCCTGCCGCTCCCCCAGCTCCCCGTTGGCTGCCACTTAGGGTCAGGATTCTGTCCTCACTGCAGCGCTCTGAAACAGCAGGTTTCTGGGCCTTGAAGCTCGGTGACGTCCCACACGGACAGTCCGAGCGGCCGAGGTCCCCACGTGTGGCCTCCCCTTTTCTGCATCGTCCTCACTCCGCCAGCATCTGCATCCTGCAGGGGGCTGCCTCATGCGCTCTGGGTGCCCGTGGCCCCCATCTGAGGCCCCTTCCCCGTGTCTTTCAGATTCTGGGCATGGCCTTCTCCATGACCCTCTTCCAGCACATCCACCGGACTGGGAAAAAGTATGACGCCTGAGTGGGCCGGCCGAACGCCCCGGCCCCGCGGACACTGTGCCAGGGAAGAGGCTTTCAGCTTGTGTCGCCTGCCCACACCCTCCAGACTGCTGACCCCTGCGCCCGCCGCCCCGGCCCGCCTTCCCCGCCGCCCGCTGCAGCCTTCTCAGCGGGCGGAGGCCAGGGAGGAGGAGGTGCAGAGACCTCGGGGTGCCGGGGCGCCCGGATTCCTGTGTATTTGCCAAAGAAGACAGGGTGGGCGGGGGGTGTGCTCTGGGAGCCCCCCGGCACCGGTGCGCTTCTGCCCTGTCCTTCCTCCACTGACACTTTGTCCCCGCGTGGCGTGGGGCGGGAGGCGCAGGGCTCCCTCCCAGTGGAGAGACTGCCCGGCGGAGGCCCCAGTGCCCCTGGCCACCCGGAGAGCGGGTGCGCGGACGCGGGCGGGGCTGACCGTCTCCCGGCCGGGCCCCTGGAAACATCTCGCCCAGGCTTTTTGTACCTTACAGTGTAACTTTTCTATTTTATTTTACTCTGATTACGATTATTCAGGAATACTATCTCTTGGATAAGTTTAGGGTTAGCTTTCTGATTTATAACTTTTTACTGCGTTGATTTCTGTAACGGTTTGATTTTCTTTCTGAGGGTGGGGACAGGCGGGGACAGGGCGTGTCCGCCCGGTTTCTGTCAGGACAGACCGCTGTGCACACTCAGGAGGCTCCCGCCAGGATGCACTGAGGGTGGGGGAGCAGGGAGCCTGGGAGGGGCAGGGGAGACGGAGGCACAGGAGGCCGCGTGGGGGCAAGGCCTGCAGGGTGCAGCGTTTGCCGAGGACCAGGCCGCGTGAGAGGCCAGGGTCGGGGGTCCTCTGGGGGCTGTGGGTGCTTTGCTTGGGAACGAGGCCGAGGGGTCGTGGGTCCTTATGCGTCACTGATGAGCAGTTCCTTTGCCCTTCTTTCTCCCTCCTGCCCTCTGTGGGCCCGGGAGGCTCCCCTTCCACCCCTGCGGGCCTTCCCGCAACAGGTTCTGCAAACACGTTATTTCACAGACATTCCTG